ATAATTTTGTCTAAGAGAGCAGAATGAGAGATGAAAAAGGCGCACATGATAAATAATTTTGTCTAAGAGAAGCAGAATGAGAGAGATGAAAAAGGCGCACATGATAAATAATTTTGTCTAAGAGAAGCAGAATGAGAGATGAAAAAGGCGCACATGATAAATAATTTTGTCTAAGAGAAGCAGAATGAGAGATGAAAAAGGCGCACATGATAAATAATTTTGTCTAAGAGAAGCAGAATGAGAGATGAAAAAGGCGCACATGATAAATAATTTTGTCTAAGAGAGGCATAATGAGGGATGATAATTGTCTGATTTTTTTAACAGTCTGCTGGACGCGATTCATATGATGACGTACGACTTGCGAGGGAACTGGGTTGGCTTTGCGGACGTCCACTCCATGTTGTATCAGCGACCGGGTCTTGATCAGTGGTCTTACGAGAAGCTCAATGTGGTAAGTACAAAGAGCATAAAGTGATATGCACCTTCGAACGCACACGTATTCACACATACATACACGGTCATGTAAACACAAACAGAAAGCTAATAATAAGAATAAAAGAGCTCACTAACCAATTCAGATTTAGCAAAAGCCAAACCCAAAACACACCAAAGAACACTACATCCTGAAAGAGAGAGAGAGAGAGAGAGAGAAGAGAGAGAGAGAGAGAGAGAGAGAGAGAGAGAGAGAGAGAGAGAGAGAGAGAGAGAGAGAGAGAGCAAGGGAGTCAGAGACAGAAAAAAAAACAGACCAAGAGCAAAACTAAGAAACATTATTACACAACCAAAACACACAAAATATTCACACACACACAAAAAAGTAAATAAATAAAAACCAGCACCCTCACTCCCTTCCCTTCTCACTCACTCTCACCCCCTCACAGAACGACGGCGCCCTCCTGTGGGAGGAATTCGGCTGCCCTCGCGACAAGCTGGTGGTGGGAACCCCCTTCTACGGGAGGACCTACACCCTGGGCGACCCCAACAACAACGACCTGCACGCGCCCATCAAAGCGTGGGTGGGAGGCGGGAATCCGGGGCCTTACACGAACGCCACGGGAACGCTCGCTTACTTCGAGGTATGGGACAGGAATTTTGAGAATGAGAATGATGATTACATTCTTGATGGTGATAGGATTTTAAATAATTTATTAAATGTTATGGTAGTTGGTTTCGGTTAGTAGGTTGTTGTATGGTGAGTAACAGGATCAAACAATTCTGTATAAAACGTCTGAAAATACAATTTTCTTGGTCTTTATTACCATTCCTACTACTAAACTACTACTACTACTACTGTTGCTACCTGCCACTATTTATCATTACCACTATTGTTATAAATAATATAATAATAATTAATAATAGAAATTTAATCTCATTCATATTCTACTTTTCTCAGATTTGCAGCAGCATGATGGTCCAGGACTCGGCTTGGGTGGACCGCTACGATGTAGACTTCGCACTGGTCACATGGTACGTTATTCCTTTTTTTTTTTTTCAATTTCAAGCTTTCATTTCCATTTGTTTACTTTTACGTGGGAGTTGTAGTACGTTCTAAATATTCAACGATAACCAAGAGAAACGTTATTGTTATTATAATCGATTATTATTATTACATTGTTATTGCTGTTGTTTTACAAGAGAGAGAGAGAGAGAAGAGAGAGAGGAGAGAGGGAGAGAGAGAGGAGAGAGAGAGAGAGAGAGAGGAGAGAGAGA